TTATATACTCTCCTTAAAATAAGAAAATAAAGAAGAAATAGAAACCCATCAAAATTAAAAAGAAATTAAATAATGAATATTTAAATAATTGATGTTTAAAATATTCTATTCCATATCAAATAAAAGAGAAAATGAAATTATCATAATTCAACAACTAAAATCAAAGAATAAGCCAATAGGTAATGAACAAATACTTTTAAAAGAAATGGATTAATTAATCCCCACTGAACAATATAAAATAAAATTATTAACACTTAATTAACTAGTTTTTATTATTTTTTATTCTTATGAAGAGTATTTGATATGATAATAGTAAATGATAAAATGATAATTAAATTTGAAATGTATAAATTTCATTATTTCAAAAGAAGTTAAATTAATAAAATAAAAGAATTAAAAGTATTTTCATTAATAGTTATAATTTGATTATTCATTAATGAGTTGGAATGAATGTAAAAAAGAACAATGTAAAATTGAATATGAAATAATGGTAAAAGATATAATGAAATATATAATAAAATAAATGATATGAGGTGTAGAAATATAAAAGTAAATCATTAAGAAATTAAATAATAAAGAGTGAAAGAAGTAAAATCAAGTGAGAGAAGACAAATAGAAAAAACATTCGACTTTTTCATTAATTTATAATAATTTTTAAGTATAAATCAAAATTCAATAATAAATAATAACATTAATGAATCATTTTAACATATTGGTAAGAGTTAATTCTTACTGATTTAATCTTCATCTTATTTCTTATATTCTTTTCTCTCTTTACTTCTTTTCTCTCATTTTCTTCTTCTTTTATCAGTTTCTTATTCTTATTTCTTATTCTTATTCTCCTATTTTCTTTTGTTTACTTTCTTATTTATTGTTCTTCTTTTATTTCATTAATTTAAATGTTCAATTAGTTTTTATTCAGTTTTCTTTTCCTTCTTTATTTTATTTTACTTTACTTCTTCTTATTCTTTTTTTCTTTTCAACCTCGAATTATTTCTTATTTTTATTCCTTATTTTTTATTTCATTAATTCATCTATTAATTCATTATAAAAGATAAGAAAAGAAAACAATAATAAAAAATAAGAAGAAAATAAAAAATAAGAAAAATCAGAAGAACAAGAAATTTGTATTTCATTTATTCAAATAAGAATTACATCCATCAAATTGTAATGAATAAATTGGTCATGAAACATTTAATACAAATACCATCATGAACATTAGAATATATTAATATAAGAAACATGAACAATAACTATTAAATTAAATAGGATAGGTTATAGTATTAAAACATAAAGAAGTATAAAAGGAAGATAGAATAAGAACAAATTTGGGGAATAAGAATAAAGAATAAAATAAATAAAGAATATACCAAAGAGAATAGAAATACTATAAAATTAATAAAATAAGGTTTATTAACAAAGAGAAAAATAAAGAATTAAAAAAACAGAGAATAAATAAGAGATATATTGAATTATCATGTACAGATTTAACAAAAAGTAAAATTTATAAGAAAGAATAAATATTAGAAAATAAGGTAGAGAGAAAAGAAATAGAAGAGAGAAAAAGAAGTAGAATAAAAAAGGAGAGAAAAGAATAAAGGTAAAAAGATAAAGAAAGAAAAGGAGAGAAATAAAGAAAAAGAATAAAAAAAATTAGAAGAGAAAGAAGAAAAATGAAGAAAAAATAAAAAGAAGAAGAAATAATAAATATAAGTAGAAAAAGGAAATAATAAAAAAGAGAAGTGAATAAGTCAGAAAGAAGAAAATAAAGTAGATGTAAGATAGAGAATAAAAGGAAAGAAGAAAAGAGAAGAAGTAAAAAAAGAAGAGAATAAGAAAGTAGAAAAATAAAAGAAAGAAGAATAGATAAAAATAAAAGAAAGGATAAGAAATAAGAATAAAACAGAAAGGATTAAATAGAAAGAAGAAATAACAAGGATACAAAAACAATAAAGACTAATTGAAAATAAATAAGAATAATAAAGAAATAATAAAACTGGAAATAATAAAATAACAAAAAATTAGAAAGAGAAAAATATAGAAAAAGAAAAATAAGAATAAAAGATAAAAATAAGAAAATAAGAGATACAGATATTTAAGAAATAATAAACATAAATAAAATAACATCTATAATAAATATCAAATAAGAAATAATTAAATAATTTTAATACGTAAATAAAGAAATAATAGGATAAACACAATAAGAATAAAATATAAACAAGAAAAGAAAATAATCAAATAAAAATAAAGAAGAAGAAATTCAAAAAAAACACTCAAAAGTATTAAACAACAAATTAACAATAAACAATATAAATATAAAATAGTTTAACAACACACCAATTATAAAGTTATATTGAAAGATATATGATAATATTAAAATAAAGATAAATTAGGAAAGAAATAATACAATACAACATAAAGTCAAATGATAGAATAAATTTAGAATAATAAAAGGAAGAAAAAGATAGGAAAAGAATAAAAATAAATAGATAAACATAAATGAAAATATAATAAATAAGCATAAATTAATTATTAAGTGGTTAACAAATTGTATTCAAAAACAAAATAAAAAGATAAATGAATAATTAGAAAATTTAAAAAGGAAATAATAACATATAAAACAATAAATTTAATGAATATATAATAATACATTATGATGACCATAGATAAAAAGTGAGAAATGAAATAAAAGAATAAAATCAAATTTAATAAATCTCATAGAAGAAACAGAGAAAGGTAGTATAAATTAATTTTAAATAAATATAAAGGATAAATAACTCAACAAGATAATAAAAGAATAGAGAAAAGAAGAATAATAATAAATAAAGTAAGAATAGATAAAGAGAAAAAGAATAAGTTGATATTTCATTAAGAAAAAATAAAAAATAAAGAAATAGAGAAGAGATAGTTGAAGAAGGATGTGTAAGATAAAAATGAATAATTAATAATCAATAGAAATGACACAAACATAAATAATATATAAAATAACAATATAAAATAGCAATAGAAATATAATAGAAAGAAGAAATAAGAAATATAGGGAAAGAATAAAGAATAAAGAATAAAAGAAGTAATGATAATAGTAAAAAGAATAAGAATAGATGAAATAGACTAATAAAAGATAAGAAAAAGAGAAAAGATAGAAGATAGAATAATAGGAGATATAAG